ATCGTCGTCGTCGTCGTCGGCGTCGGCGTCGTCGTCATCGGTGTCGTCGTCGTCGTTGTCGGCGTCGTCGAAGTTGTTTGAGACGTCGTCGGTGTCGTCGTAGTCGTTGTCGGCGGCGTCGTCGTCGTCGTTGTCGCTGTCGTCGTCGGCGTCGCTGTCGTTGCCAAGTGCCATGTGGTACCCACCGTCACGGTCTTAAGAGATTTTGCAAACCAAGTTGCGGGTGGGTGGGTGGGATGTTTGCGCGAGCAGTGGAGTGGACAACTCACTGCGAACAGAAATTGATTGCACCATATCGATTGCACCACACATACGGTACCACATAGAACCCACTGCATAGATTGCACAAACCATACTACAAAACAAAGACTGCAGCACTTAAACCGCACCACCTTTATTGCTCCGTATATATTGTGCCACATAAGTTGCACCATGCAGATTTCTAGAAACACGTTTCTTGGGGTGCACGCTGGTTAACATGTTCTTGATATTAGCATGATGCAGTCTGCTCTCGGTACTACCATGGTTATCATTATTATTCCTTCCCCCCATGGTGCTGCGCGCGCGGGGTGAGGATGCGGGGGAAGAAGAGGAGGAATCCTTGCAGCGACCATACATATCTACGCTGCCTACAAGACATGCTCATGCAGAGGGCTCAGAACCTGAAGCGGTAGAACTCGCTCCAAGTCGTTCTGTCGGCGGGCCAACACCAGAGAGTTCATCGCAAGTCGACGTCTCGTTCGCAGCCCCGTCCTTCTCCCGTCAGCTACCCAGTGCTGAACCCCCAAGTAATCAGGATACGAAGGTGGGTGAACAAGGCACATTTCAGTTCTGGGCATGAGAAAAGCTGCGCCACCGACTCAGTAGCAATTCTGCGACTAGGCGTCTCTTCTGGCAACTGCCGACCTCGATGCTTCTGCTGGAACGCTCTGCTCTGACGCTGGGTCAATCGTCACGTGCCCTCTTTCTGCGCGGACCCTCAGTCCGACACACCCGCGGCCTACAGGGCACCCCTGTGGCTGCCTCCGCGACCCATGGACACGAGCGCCCCACAATGGGCGCGCCTTCCCGGTCATCCCTTCCATAATCCCACCAGCCCTCTGGGCGTCGGTGGTTTAGAGCGTTTCCTCTTCCACCCCTCCCTCTTCCCCTTCGGGGAGGGGTTTACCCCTCCCCCTACCCCCTCCCCACTGACCTGGACAGGGGGGGCGGGGAGCGGTCAGAGCGTCCAAAACGGCCTCGCCGAGGAAGCCAAAATCATTGATTTTATTAAGGTTTTGGCCCCATTTTGGCCCCCAGAGGGGGCAGCACTAATTGAAGCTCCCCTCTTCTTTGATCGATTTCCTCCAAGATGGCCCCAAGAAGCGCCCAGGAGGCACCAAGAGGCCCCAAGATGGCCCCAAGATGGCCCCAAGAGGCCCCCAGGAGGCCCCCAAGAGGATCCCAAACGGCCCAAAGAGGCCCCCCCGAGGCACCCAAGACGCCGAAAAGCCCCTCAGGACGACCCTCTACTCGCCTGGGCGTCGTTTCTGGACGGGCTGGTGGGGATACGCGAAGCGTCTAGAATTTTCATCCTCTCCCTCCTCATCGTCCCCTGCCCATCTCCCCCTCCTTCTCCTCCGCTTCCTCATCCTCCTCCTCCTCTCTCCCCCTCCTCCTCCTCCTGCACTGCCTCCTCCTCCTCTTCCTCACCCTCATCCTTATCATCATGATCATTATGATCATCATCATCATCATCAGCAGCATCATCATCAGCAGCAGCAGCAGCATCATCATCGTCAGCATCATCATCGTCAGTATCAGTATCAGTATCAGTATTAGTATCAGTATCAGTATCAATATCAGTATCAGTTTCAGTATCAGTATCAGTATCATCATCATAATTATCATCGTCGTCGTCATCGCCATCGTCATTAACATTATCACCATCATCATCCTCGTCCTCATCCCTCTTCTCCTCTCCCTACTCCTCCTCATCCTTCTCGTGCTCATCCTCCTCATCAACATCGTTGCTTCTTGAAATAATTACTCACCGGCTTCGGGACCAAGGGATGAAGGAAAAGCAGCAGTCCTCTTCTTCATCACCCCCCTGGGCCTCTCCAGGGATGCATGTTGACGGGGATTTCGAAGCAGACCAATGTGCGGCGAAGAAGGACGACGGGCGTCGAAGGGCGGCGGACAACGACGGACGATGGACGGCGGACGACGACGACGACGACGACGACGACGACGACGACGACGACGACGACGACGGCCATCCTGGGCCCAGGATCGGTGCTTCGGCCCTCCAGGCTTGGCCAGGGCAGAGTAGCCACTAATCCTGGGCCCACGATGGGCCTGGCCAAGATCGGCGACGGGGCCGCTTGACGCCCCCCGACGCGACGACGGCGGATGGCGGCGACGACGACAAGGGACGATGACGGCGACGACGACGACCTGCGACGACCCACGACGAGGACCGACGAGGACGACGGACGAGCACGAGGACGAGGACCGAGGACGACGACGACGTTGACGACGACGACGACAACGACGACCACGAGGAGGATGAGGAGGAGGACGACGACGACGACAACGACGTTAACGACGACGGCTACGACGACTACGACGACGACGACGACGACCACGACGACGACGAGGACGACGACGACGAAGACGATGACGACGGCGGCGGCGGAGGCGGCGGCGGCGTCGGAGACTGAGACGGCGACGGCGACGGCGAAGGCCACGACGACGACCACGACGACGAATGGCGACGGACGACGGACGACGGACGACGACGACAAAGATGACGCCGACGACGAGGACGACGACGACGACGACGACAACGACGACGACGAAAAACGTCCACGAATGACGACGGGCGACGGACGACGACGAACGATGACGACGGACGACGGACGACGGACGACGAAAGCCGGGGGAGAATCAGAACGAGAACGAAGACGACGCCGCCGCCCACGACGACGATGAATGACGACAACGACAAGGGACGACAACGTCGATGACGGACGAAGACGAGGACAACGACGATGACGTTGACGACCACGACGACGACCACCACGAGGACGACATCCACTACGACGACGGATGGCGGCGGACGACGCACGACGGACGACGGAGACGACGACGACGACCACGACGACAGACGACGACGACGACGGACGACGAAGAACGACGGACGACGGACGACGACGACGACGACGACGGACGACGACGAGGTCGACGACGACGGACGACGGACGACGAACGACGGGCGAGAACAAGAACGAGAACGAGGACGACGACCACGACTACGAATGACGACAACGACAAGGGATGACAACGTCGACGACGGACGACGACGGCAGACGACGGACGACGACGGAAGACGACGGAAAACGACGGACGACGATGGGCGACGCACGACGGGCCAGAATAAGAACGAGAACGAGGACGAGAACGACGACCACGACGACGGCGACGACGACGAATGACGACAACCACCAGGGACGACAACGACGACGACGGACGACGACGAGGTCGACGACGACAACGACCTTGATGACCACGACGACCACGACCACGACCACGACGACGACGACGACGACGACGACGGAGACGACGACGACGACGACGACGACGACGGCGGCGGCAACGACGACGACGACGACGACGACGACGACGACGACGACGACGACGACGACGACGGCGGCGGCGGCGGCGGCGGCGGCGGATGGCGACGACAACGACGACGGCGGCGGCGGCGGCGACTGCGACGATGATGGCAACGGCGACAAAGACGTCGTCCGGCGGACGACGGACGACGACGGACGACGACGGCGACGACGAACGACGACGACGACGCCGACGACGACGACGGCGGCGGTGACGACGACGACAACGGACGACGGACAACGGACAAAGACGACGGCGAATGACGACAAATCACGGCGACGACGACGACGACGCAGAGGACGAGGACGACGACGACGTTGACGGCGACGACGACGACGATGACGATGACACGATGACCATGACGACGACCACGGACGATGACGACGGCGGCGGCGGCGACGGCGGAGGCAGCGGCGGCGGCGACGGCGAAGGCCACGGCGACGGGGACGACGACGGCGAAGTCGACGTCCACGACAACGACCAACGACGAACGACGACGACGACGACGACGGAAGACTACGACAACAGACAACGGAAGACGACGGACGACGATGGACGATGGACGACGGAAGAAAACGACGACGACGACGACGACGACGACGACTGCGACTACGACGACGACGACGACGTCGACGACAACAGGGGACGCCGACGACGACGGCGGCGACGACGATAACGACGAGGAGGACGACGTCGACGACGCCGACCCCGACCTCCTCTGGCAGTTCCAGGAGGCATCCTGAGGTCCCCAGAGGCCTCCAGAGGCCACCAGAGATCCAAAAAGGGCCTCGACCTCCTCGTCCTGGGTCCCCGGAGCTCCTCATCCCCCTCCTCCTCCTCCTCGATCCTCTTCCTCCTCCTCCTTTTCCTTCTCCTCCTCGATCCTCCTCCTCCTCCTCCTCGACCCTTCTTGTCTTCTCATGGTGTCACTTCCCGCCATGAAGATACATTCTTTCGGGGACCTGCGAAGAGGGAACTTGGGGAGAGGGTTGATTTCAACATCGTTGATGCGCCTTGGGTTTACACTAGTCGATCATCCTCCTTCTCCTCGCTCCTCCTCGATCCTCCTCGATCCTCCTCGATCCTCCTCCTCCTCCTCGATCCTAGCTCCTTGAGCCTCCTCCTCCTCCTCCACCTCCTCCTCCTCCTCCTTCCTCCCCCTCCTCCTCCTCCTCATCGATCCTTTCCCTCCTACTCCTCCTCCTCCTCCTCCTCCTCCTCCTCCTCCTCCTCCTCCTCCTCCTCCTCCTTCTCGATCCTCCTCCTCGATCCGCCGCCTCGATCCTCCGCCTCGATCCTCCGCCTCGATCCTCCTGGATCCTTGACGAACGACCGGCGGGAGCCTCATAGAGCTCGGCTCCGCCGGCTCGGGAGCGTCCCCTGGGCGGGCGGCCGCCGGGGCCCACGCCACGCCGTTCCTGCCACCCGCGCGGGGGGGGAGGGGGAGGAGGATCGATGAGGAGGAGGAGGAGGAGGAGGAGGAGGAGGAGGAGGAGGAGGAGGAGGAGGAGGAGGGGATCCTCCTCCTCCTCCTCCACCTCCTTGGCGCGCTCCACGCGCCTGGGAGGCGGGGTGGGGTAACGACCTCCTCCCCCTCCTCCGCCCCGTCCGTCCCCCTCCAACTCTACCTCGTCCACCTCCTCCTATTCCTAATCCATGACGACAATACGGAAAAACAAGAGCTGTCCGAGCTCCGCGTGGATTTCTTAGATCGGCGCCTGACCCCCCTCCCAGGGGCGCGGAGCCAAACAGGTCCGATCCAAGAAATCCGTGTGGAGCTCCGAAAGTTTATGTTTATGCAGTTGTTGCCCTTCTTCGATGCTCCTCCCCTGCCCCCCTTCCCCCCCTCCTGATCCTCCTCCTCCTCTTCCTCATCCTTCTCCTCCTCATCCTCCTCCACCTGGGACAGCAGAGCAGTCATCATAACAACGCCACACACACACACACGCAGGCCCTGGGCGAAGAAACTCTTCCTCGGCGAAGGCAAACATGCCAGCGACAAGGGCGAGGGAAAGGAGAGCCGAAGGCCAAGAAGCGCATCTACTGACTCGCGGCCAGAATGGGTAGTATGGGGGGAAGCGCACTACGCCGGAGGCGCGCGACGGGGGGGAGGGGGCGTGACGTTATGGGGGGGGAGGGGGAGGCATGACGCGCGTTATGGCCCAGAGGGTTTAGGAGCACACTCCAAGGAAGCGCGGAGCCAGAAGCGAAAGCCAGGGGAGAAAGGAAACGGGGAGCAGGCGGCAGGACGAGACCAGAGGCGGGCGGGCGGGTGGGCGGGCCGACAGACACAGACAGGCAGACAGACAGAAGGGAGGAAAAACTAGAAGGCAGGGAGAAGCAACCATGAGCTCACACATACTAGTGAGCCAACAGTCGTGCATAGGCACTCCTGTGCCTCCCTCGGTACCCTATGGGTACCTCTGGGTACTCCGGGGGAAAACGAGAAGGCAGGAAGAAACATCACACAACTCGGGGGCAAGAAAAGCGCTCGAGGGAAAGCCAAAGAGCCAAGCCAAGCCGAGGAAGGAGGCACAAACAAAAATTCGCCATGGACCCATGTTTGATGGCCCTCGGCCCCGAAAACTGCCCTCTGATGCCCAAGTGAAGCACAAACGCGCTAGGATTTGGCACATCCGTTTCTTTCGGACGTCTGTGGTGGATGCGGCACCAAGCGTCGTCGCGGCCGCGCGCCTCCACGTCCGCTGATCCGCGACTGCCTTTATGACTCACTCCTGGTTCTGCCCGTGCTGATCTCGATCTTCAGTTTATTCATGGATGGCCCCTCTTTGCTCCGCTGCATGCTCCTGCGCTTCCCTGATCAAGGCAACTCGCCCATGCTCGTTTCTGTATGGGCTTGTGGGGCTGCGTAAAGCGTTCACAAGTAATGCGATCCAATTACGGTGATCCGAGATGAACTTGTGACCTCCACGTGCTGCGCGCATGATGGTTGCAACAAAACGTTGAACCCGTTGCAGATGAGCATGAAATCGCCAATGTGAGTGTGCTGTGGCCATTCTGCAGCCTGCAATGATATGTGACCATCTCGGCCAGCACACGGCAGCGGGGCTGTTCTCACAATCTTGTTCTGCGGTCCGGTGATCAACGAAGAATGCTTGCTGATCTCTGGACATTCAGACTGCAGCCACATATACACGGATTTCAAGAGTGTATCGACGATTCTGGCTGGCCACGTCGGGAGGATCTCGTCCGCCCAACAGATTAGCCCCCACATGCTTGACGGCGACATCTTCCTATCGATCTGAAGGGAGTCGAAGATGGGCGTGTCACACTTCAGTCTGCCGAGTGCGCTTTGGTCCTCGCGGCCTCGCCGGTTGACCCCCCCTGCCACCAAAATGCGCATCTCCATCGCACTATGCACTATCCACCAAAAAGCCGGCTTGGACGACCCCTTGTGCTGCACCTCCCCAGGCGTGCGCCACGGGCTCCGCAGCGTTGCCATTGTCAGTGTGTCTGCAGACACAGACAGCAAAACTTGCTGAGCTTCCGCCATCCTTCGCTTCCCCCCCCCTCTCTCCTCTCTCGCCTCCCTCCTCCCCTATCGTCCTTTTTCTGTTCGTCCGTCTCCGTTGCCTCCCTCTCCCTCCTCTCCGTACTGTTTTTGTCCCCCTCCTGCCCCCCAAGCACGGTACACTCCTCATTTGTCGTATTCTTCCTCCTCCTCATCATTACATCATCGTCGTCATCATCATCGTCATCACCATCACCACCATCATCATCTTCTCATAATCGTCATCGTCGCCCTAACCGTCATCGTCCTCGTCATCACCATCATCATCACATAATCGTCATCATCCGCGTCATCATCACCATCATCATCGACATCACTATCACCTTCGTCATCACGATCACCATCACCATCACCAACACCAGCATCATCATCTCATCACTGTCACCATCACAACCATCAGTATTAGCATCACCATCACCACCAGCCTCATCAACACCACCACCATCACCATCACCATCCTCATCTTCACCATCCTCACCATCATCACCATCGATCCTCTGCGTCCTGCTGCCCCTCCTCCTGTCCCCTCCCTTCGCTGCCTCCTCTCCCCCCTGCCTCCTCCACCGCTCACCGTCGTCGCTGGATCGTCCTTTGCTCCTCGCCCGCCCCTGCCAGGGAGGCGCTCCTGACGGCCCCAGCACTTCTGTCCGAGCTCCACTGCTCGTCCGCCGCGCTCTCGGCCGGCCTCCCGACCTCAGAGGCACCCGCCACCCCCCCCCCCCGCACGCGAGAAGGAAGGAGGAAAGAGAAAGACAGAGCAAGACGACGAGGGGGAGGATGATGAGGAGGAGGACCAGTGCAAACCCAAGGCTCATCAACGATGTTGGAATACACCCTCCCTCCAAGTTCCCTCTTCATAGGCCCCATACAAGGGGTCATTTCCACTGAAAGACTTGCCCCATTGGGGAACAAACGTGCAAAAATCCGGAAGCGCGCCAAAACACCATTTCAAGGACTTCAACGCCACGGATTAACCTGACTGTTACGTCTTGGCGATCCTGAATCGCACCAGAACATCATTCGCGGGACTTCAACACCGCGAATCAACGTGACTGATGCGCCCCGACAGCCCTGAGCCTTTTTCAAAACACATTTCTAATACGTTAGTAATAATAATCATTGAACATGTGTTGCCAGATGTTGGTAACAATAGAAACGAATGCACGCGGTGCTTAGGCGAGAGCCTCATTTTGAAAAGGAACAACCGTCTACCCGCGAAGCCCTTGCATTTGTTATAATGGAAGAAAACGAATGCGCGCTGGTCTTAAGCGCGAACCACATGTTGAAAAAAAACAACATTCAACCCGTGAAGCTCCGTGAACCTTTTTAGCACACATGTGTTCGGCGCCCGGGCGAGAACCACTTTCTGAAAACGAACTGCCCTCAAGCAGTGAATCTCTTGCAAATGATGAAAACGAGTGCGCACGGCGCCAATGCGAAAACCACATTTTGAAAACCACCCGCCTTCAATCCGTGAAAGACTTGCAATGTTTTTGAATCTATGCGCGCGGCGCTGAGGCGAGAACCACCCTTTGAAAACGATCCGCCCTGAACCCGTGAATGTGTGTCAAGTGTTTCAAACGAATGCGCATGGCGCTAAGGCGAGGGTCACATGTTGAAAACGGCCCGTCCTCCATCTGTGAAACGGTTGTCACTTCTTAAGGTCCAAGATCATAAATGGTGAGGGCGTCTCAAACGAAACGCACAGCCCGCCCTTTCGACTGGCCTCGGAGTGCGACAAGGATGGGCTATCTATGGGGAGAAGGGTCGGAGGAATATAACGAGGAGGAATAGAACGAGGATATGGAAGGAGGACGAAGAAGAAGAAGGACGACGAAGGGGAGGAAAATATGGAAAAGGAGGAGGAAAACGAGGAGGAGGAGGAGGAGGATGGTGAGGAGGAAGGAGGACGACGAATGGGAGGAGCAGTGCGAACCCAAGACGCCTCAACGATGTTGCCACCAACCTTTCCCCCGAAGTCCCGATTCATGGTCCCTACGAAAAATGACGCGGCCCATTGAAAGACAACCGTCCGAAGGAATTCACAACCCCCACGCTCCAAAAAGAGAGGTTCCTCGCCAGGACCAGCGAACATTCAATACAGCAACAGTTCCACATAGGTAAAATTGACCAAACGTCGCCACATCTCCATTTCCGGAAATACTTGAAACCCGCATTCGTGCCAGGACATTATTGCTGATACTTAAACGCCACGTAGAACCAACGTGACTGTTGCTTCCTGACAGTCCTGGATCGTGCCAAAACCGTTCTTGGCACTTCAACATCGCGAACCAAATTGACTGCTGCGGCCAGGCGCTCCTAAATCGTACCAGTCTATTATTCCTGGTGCACTTCGAGTCCTTGGAACTGCTGCGAACTTTTTAGACGAATGCGCGCGGCACGTAAGCGAGAGCCACATTTTGAAAAGGAACCGGCCTCGATCCTAAAGAATGCTGCAGAGAAGTTACAAAGAATACGCGCAGGGAGGGGGGCGAGAAGGGGAAGGGGTCTCTGCATCTTGGAGGCACCCGCCCCCCCCGAGGCCCCCCCACCCGCGCGTGGACATTGCGTTCCCCGGCGCAAGATGCCCCCCCCGGACCCCCCAGATCAATATTGAGGGCGTGGCAACGGAGGGGGCTTGAGCCAACAGAATTGTTAGAGCCCACAAACCACCGACCACAACCCACATTGAGATCAACATTGCAATGGGAGAGCGTGGATAAATGACCAGAATCCCCGCCACGTCTGTCAGCGCTCGAAAATGCAAGATTGATCATATATGATTGGGGCGGGGCGGGGTCTGCGGCAGCAGCTGAGATCATATTTTCCTCTGGCCACCGCACATTGCCGGAAACGCTAGGGGCGGGCGCACTCGCGCCAAACGAGCGCACGAGACAATATCGTCAAAAAGCAGAAGCTCTCGAACGGCAGCGGGGGCTCGCTCGCTCCTCAAGACGCGAGCAAGGAACAATACCAATTCCGCGGCGAGCCGAGGGTGGGAACTGGGCGGGGCAGTGGCAACTGCCATGCAACCCTGTAGTCGGCCAGACTCGCTTCCTCGATTCCGCTCCCCCGCCCCCACTCATTCACCGTAAACGTCTATATGATTGGGGCGGGGCGGGGTCTGCGGCAGCAGCTGAGATCAAGCTTTTCCTCTGGCCATCGCGCAGTGTCGGAAGCGCTGGAGGCGGGCGCACTCGCACCAAACGAGCGCACGAGACAATATCGCCAACAGCAGACGCGCTCGAATGGTAGCGGGGGTGCGCACGCACCTCAAGGCGCGCCCCCACCGAACCCTCATCTGGCCCTGGCCGAAGTCCGCTTGGGCCCGAGCGACAAGCGATTGCAGCCGCGAGCTGAGCGCGGAAGACGCGCGCCACGTGAATTTCATTTCGGTCAAGAACTGTGGCCCCACCCTCGATGTATATTTTGGCCGCGCGCGCCGAGCCCCAGCGACCGCGCATCATGGCTCGCGCGAGATCGCCCGAGCTGGGAGATTCGCGAGTCGCCGCAAACTGCAGGGCGAGAGGCGCAAGTGCGCGCGGCCCATCCCCGCCAGCGCTTCTTTGAAGGCGCCGTGGAAGCTCTGCCGGGTGCCGGGCCACGACGCCCCCGCGCCGTCCAGCGCGAGTTGGCGGTGCAACTAGACGCCTACATACGGGTCGTCAACAGTGACGTTCTTGCGGGCGCCCTTCTGGGCTGCCGTCTTGGTCTACGGAAATGACACTACTCCGCGCCCGTCGGCTCCGATCTGCACGAGCGCGCGGCCCCCCCCTGTTCTCAGGCACAGGTGAAAACCTGCTAGCACACGCGCTGCGAGAGCGATGCGAGAATGCGCAAGCGCCCAGCCAGCCACAGCGGCGGCGACGCGAGCAGGCATGGGCGGCGCGCGGCTAGGCACCTCCAGGCGGCCCCAAACTGACAGCAGGCGCCAGGCGCCTGGCATCTGGCGCCTCGAGCGAAGGAAATGATGCACACCACTGAGCGTGTCGTTCGCTTGAACCTAGGTCGCTCCACTGCTCCGAAGGTGCTCAAGGTAGCCTGGAAGGCGATGGTCCATTTCATCCCCTGCGATAGGCGAGGCGAGGTACATGGCAAGCAAATGGTCAACAAGCTGCCGGCATGCGCGCTTGCACCGCGCGCGCGTTCTAGGATTCACTCTCGCGCCAGCCCGGCGGCCCAGCGGCGCTCGGGCAGCGCGCCTCGAGTCAGGCGTCGATCGCCCGACCATCCCTCAGGCGCGAGGGCGCGTCAGCTGGGTTCTTGGTCGAGGACGCGCAGCCGAAGACCCCGCGGGCGCCGTCGCCAGCTCCAGGGCGGAGAACGCGCGCGCCACCTTGTTGGGCTGCGCACTGCTGGGCTGGCGCTCGCTCAGCGCACCGACGTGGACCATGCTGTCGAGGAGATGCAGGAAGACCCGGCTGTGGCGAGCAGTCGCGCGGGCCCTCCAGCGCAGCGCCATCAACGCCGCCTCGCACTCCAAGGCGTTGATGTGCGGCCCCTGCTCGTGGCACACCAGCTGCCTTGCCGTTTGCCAGAACAGCGGCTCTGAATCCACCCCCTGCCCTGGGAAGACCTTGCCGAGCGCCTCCGAGTTCGCGTCGACTCCAAGACCCGCTCCATAATGATCGCATATCACTACAGGCGCGGCGACCAGCCGCTGCTCTGGCGCGAAGGGTCGCCACTTGTTCGGGCCCCGCTGCGCGAGCTGCCCCAGCAGCGCGTCGGCGCGGCGCGGCGCCTCTGGCGGGCAGCGGCACGACAGCCGAGGCCCGCGCAGCTCCTCGAGCGCGCCCAGGAGCGCCGGCTGCCCCGCGAGCCAGCTGGCGCACAGCGCCACGGCGTCCGCCAGCGAGCGCCCAGGGCCCACTGGATAGTGGTTCCCCCACTTCGAGGGCCCAAGTCTCCAGCGGCGCGAGCCCCGCCACGTAGATCAGCTTCTCGTCGGCCGCGGGGGCAGCGGCGGCCACGCCTTTCGACGGCACCTGTGCGCGGGCGCGGCCATCAGGAGCGCGATCGCCGCGAGGGCCGTTATCCTCGTCAAATCAAAAGGTCAGCCCCGAAATGGCCTGCCGTGACTGACAGGGCCATTTTGGGCCGGACCCTGTGTTTCGCGGGTCGAAATGCGCATCCACGTCGGGCGGCCATCCAGGCGGTCAGTCGCAGCAGCGGCGGCGCTGTCCAGCTGGGCGAGGTGCTCCTCGGCCACCGCCTCGCTGCCCTCGCGCAGCGTGGCCGCGCCCCCAGCCCAGAGCCTGCGCCCGCCGGCCCAGCTTCGCGAGCTGGCGCGGAGGGCGGCGAGCCCCGGCACGGCCGCCAGCAGCCCGGCCTGCACGGCCCAATGGGCCGGCTGGCGCTCCAGCGCAAGCAGCTCTTGTCCATCAACTGGCATGGCGGCGCCGCGAAGCCGGCGGCCCCCCAGCGCTGGAGCTCCGCCTCGCTGCGAGACTTGATCCCCGCAGGCCGCGGCCGCGGCGACTTCCGCAGCGCCCGCCGCACGAAGGTGGGAAGCCGCTCGCGCGCCGCCTCGCCGGGCCAGCTCGCTCCGCGCGGCAGCCGCTCTGGCGCGGGCGGTAACTCGGCCGCGAGCATCACGTGGCACGAGCGGCGGCTGGCCCCATCTGCCGACCGCTTCTTTGCGGGTTCCACCTCGAAGGAGGGCAGCAAGTCCCGCGAGGCCGTCAGCGCTGCCCGCGCCGCGTGGCCATGACAAGGGAAACCCCCGACGACGAGCACCCGCGAAATGCGGCCGTGCTCTCGGGGCCGCAAGGCCAGCTCCATCGGGTCGGCCTTCGTGATGTCGCCGAGGCGCACGGTGCTCGGAAAGGCGCGCCGGGCCACCCTCGCCGCGCCCAGGTCGGTCTCGAACGAGGGGCGCGCCGCGGGGGCGAGGCCCGAGATCTCGAAAGCTCGCCTGGCCCCGTCGATCCCCGCGATCGAAGGCCGAGATCAGCGCCGCCCCCCCCTTGCAAGCGGGGTTGGGCGGCCGCGCGCCTCGCGCAGCGAACTGCTCGCCTCGCGCTGCCTGGCCCGTCGAATAGACCACCGCGCCGGCAGTCTCGGAGGTGTCCAAGGCCGCGACCAGGGCGTCGACCTCAAGCCGCATGTCGGCGACGCACAATGCCGACAAGGCAATCGCCATCACGAGGTCCTCCGCCGCGCCGATGCCCATCCAGCCGCCAGGCCGAGGCGTCGCCATCCAACGCCGAGCGTTGACGGCTCGCGGCCGGCGGAAGCACTGCACGTGCACCCCGCGGCCGAAGAGGATCTGCATCAGCCTCCTGCTGGCGCGCCGCTTCGCTGGGATCCAAAGGGCACGGCTCGCCAGCTTCGCGGCGCAGCCCCGAGGCGACCGGCGCGCCTCCCCGACCCCGTCGATTTCGCCGAGGGTCGCCACCAGCGGCTGGCGGAAGACGCCCCTTGCCTGGCGACCCTGGCGAGCCAGCCGCCGCGTGGCACTCGCCCGCGCGGCTGGGCGGGCGGGCGCGCTGCCCTTCAGCACCTCGGCCTCCTCGCGAGTAACGACTTCGGCGATCTCGAAGTTGTCGATGTAGACGAACCAGGCCGCGGGGCACGGCGCCTGGCATCCGAAGGGGGACCGTCTCCTCCGCGTGATTTCCGTTGCGGGATGTTGCGGGGGCGAGGCCCCGAGGGGCCGCTGCCGACCGCCGCGGCATGTCCCCGTGCAAATGCGTTGTGACGCCGACGGCGGAGATCCAGCCCATGGCGATCACGCGGAGGGCGACGCGGGTCGGGGCTTCGCCGCTGCCCCCGACCAGGCGGGCCGGCACTAGCGGGCCCAAGGCCGCGTGGGGCCGCGGCTGCGACGGCGCCGTGAAGACGTAGAAGAAGGCCTTCCTGTCGGCGCCGCCCCAGAGCAGCTCCTCGCCCGGCGCCGGCACCAGCCCCTGCAGCCGCCCCATCGTCGGCGTCTCGGGCGCATCGCTAGCGATGCACCTCTGACAAGCTTTCGACGGAATGAGACTGACGATCAGGCGCAGCACGGGCCGGCCCACGCCGCCCCTGCACGCGATGGACGGGTCGTGCGCCTTGGCGACGCCGAAGGCGCCATTCACCAGCGGCTGCCCGTCGCGCGTCGCCACCTTCGCCTCCTCGACGGGGCCGACCATGCCGCGGGCGTAGATCGCCTCCACGATCGCGTCGATCGCGTGCCGCTCGTCGTCTGAGGCCCGGACCCTGGCGCTGGTCGCGGCGCGCCCCCGTTGCCGCGCTGGCAGCGTCACGAGGCCGGGGTCCAGCAGCGCTGCCCGGACGAAGCCCGTCGCCAGGTCGGCGGTCTCGATCGAAGCCGCAACTCCGACGGGCGGGGGGCCGCCCTCGATCTGCTCCAGCGCCAGCCGCAGCGGCGTCGACACCTCCGACCCGTCGTCCGAGATGCACCGGTCCTTGAGCCGATCGGCCCAGTCGATGTCGGGCGCCAGCTCAGGCTTCGGCACGACGGAAGCGCAGGTCCGCCTCGCGAGGCCCTTCACGGCCGACAACTGGGCAGCGGTTGGGCGAGTTTGGCAAGCCAGCGCGCAATTCCCGCGCCAGTGGCCAGCCTCTCAGTTCAGCGCCACGATCGTTCGCCGGCAGCCTCGCCTGCAGGGCCCCCAGGTCTCTCGGGTCTAGCTCTTTCTCCTCGGCGAAGTCCCGGACTTCCAAACGGGGGCAGGGAATCGGCGGCAGGTCACGCCGTGGCCGCCCCCCCTAGCTGCCTTCGTTCGCCGTGCTCAAATCCCTTCGCGCACTGCCCGAGTGATCCAGGGCAGGCGCGCATCAGCTGCTGCAGAACAGGGCCCTCGTCAAGCGGGCGGCGGGACAGGCTGCTGGCGCCTCCGACGAGCTGTCGCCAGCCGTCGCACGGGTTCTCGTCGCCCGCGCCGTCCGCCGCCGCGGCCTCGGCGCGCCAGCGCGCCGCCGAGGCCGGGTCAGCGCCCGCGCCTGCGACGGCACGCAGCGGCGCCTCCAAGCCCTCAGCGCGTCAGCGCGCAGCAGCAAAGGTGGGCTCCTGCACGGCGGCCGCCTCTCGGGCTGCCGGCGCGTCAGGAGGGGCGTCGGCTGCGGGCGGGCAATCAGCTGTCGCGGCTGCGTCGCCCCTCGGGGCCGCGCCTGCGCCAGCTTCATCAGCCCTCCGCGCGCAACACTCCTTCGCTAGCGCCGCCCGGGCGCCTGCTGCCAGGGGCCGCCGCCGCCGCGGCCGCGGCCGCGCCTGCCGCGGCGGGACCGATGCGTTCGGCTTCCCTTGCCATGGCCCTTCGCGCCGACCTCCTCGGCAGGATGATTATGGTCGATCGCCCGCGCGTCTGGCTCCAGCTCCAACTGTACTCGCCGCGGCGGCGGGTAGGGGCTGCCCCCGCGGGCCGCCCTCGCCGCGGCCGGGGGCGCGCCGCGCTGCGCTTCCTCGGAGGGCGCTGCGGCGTCTGCCCTCGACTCCTCGGCCCCAGCTCCGGCTGCGGCTGCTTTCGCGGAGCGGCTGGAAGCCCGCGCTGGGCTCGGCCAGCGCGCCCCGCGGCCGCCCGCCCGATGCGGGAAGAACCGCGCGCGTCCACTGCCGCCGCGGCCCGCTCCGCGACCGCGCGCCGGCGGGCTTGGCTCGGCGCGCGGCGACGGCGGCGCCAACTGCTCGGGCCAGCGGCGGGCGAAAGCCCCGAGGGCCCTCGCGCCCTCCAGCCGCCTCCTGAGCATGGCTGCCCCCCATCGCCGTCTCCTGGTCCGTCCTCGAGGCGGGCGCCGGGCGGCTGTCGGAGACCACCTCCAGCTCCGTCGCGATGTGTCAGTTCCTGTCATTGAAACTCATCTACAAAGCCTTGAACCGCTGCATGAGGGCGTCCGCCACTGTGGCAGTGGCCCTCCTCCATCAGGTCCAGCGCCGACGCCGGCGTCTGGAGTTCCCTGACCGTCCGCTCGCTGACGCTGTGGATCGGGTGGTGCCCGAAGATCACCGCCTGCAGATCGCCTCGCACCTTCGGGCGGGCTGGCTGACCTGTCGCCCCTTCCCGCAGGCCCATGACGCGCGCGATGTTCTCGATCGCTTCGTCGTAGAGCTCGCCCGGGCTCTGCAGCGCCACCTTCGCGATGCCGCTGCCGCAGGTCACAGAGGGGGCCCCGCGAAAAAGCAAGTCGCCACCTTCGTCGTTGCTGCTCGAGCGGCTCCGGCGCCTGCGCCTGCCGCCGCGCGCTCCATAGCCCGCCGCTGGGCGGAGCGTTCGCCGCCGATGCCGCGCGCCTGGCGCGCCGCCCCCGCGAGGCGCTCGGGGGCGGGGCCCGCCGCGCCCAGGACTCTGCTGCCGCACCCGGCTCCTGGCGGCGGCCCTAGCACGCTCGCTCGCAACCCACTGTTCGACCAGGCTGCGAGCCGAGCGGAGACGCAGCCAGTCGATGTGGCCCTCACCCCAGCCTGGCACTGCGGGGGCGCGGCAGTTCACTGCCCCAGCGCTGCAGAGGTGCAGCAGACCCGCCGGGCCGGCCCCCAGGGGCGGGAAAGCCGAATCGAGCTCGAGCGCTCGTGCCGGCACTGCGGCACCGCGGAACATGCACCGCGAGGTAGAGGCCGTCCGAGCCTGGCGTCCCGACGTCCTCGACCTCGAAGATCGCCGTGCCGTCGCCCTGGCCCGCCTGGTCGATCGTCGGCACCTCCACCAGCATCCCACGCGCGAAGGCGCCCTGGAGGAGCGCCGCGCTGCCCATCCAAGGCCCGTCGATGAAGCCGCCGAGGGGCGCGCCCAGAGCGGCTGCCTTGGCGAGCGCCGCGCCCGGCGGCGCCGCACCTGCTCCTGCGGCCGCGCCTGCGCCTGGCGGGGGGCCGCCCGCCGCCCAGCGCCGCTCCGCCAGCAGCGGGGGGCGGCAACCCGCCCAGGCCGCCCGCTGCAGCACCGCCTCTCCAGGGGGCGCTGCCGCCACGGCCGCGATCAGCGCGGCGCCCACGCCCGCCGAGGCATCTGGCGGGGGCGCTACAGCTGCCGCTGCCAAGGGGGCCGCTCCAAGAACTGGGACCAGCGCTCCTGCCGCAGCGGCTAACGCGGGCGCGCCTGGGATCACTGGCGGGCCTCCGCCGCCTGGCGCCGCGCCAGCGGGAAGCGGCGGCGGGAAACCCGCGGCCAGCGGTGGGCCCCGGCCCGCGCGCCCTCGGCCGCGCGCGAGCCCTCGGTCCTGCCCGCGGCCCGCCGCGGCCAAGGCCTTCCCCTTCGCTCTGGCCTTGGCCTTGGCCTGAGCCTTCACGTTGGCATTGGCCTTCGGGGCCATCACGTCAGCACTCCAGCCGCCAGCGCCCTGCCGCCAGCCCGCGCTATGCTCTGAAGGCGCCGGGTGCGAGCTGGGCGCAAACAACTGGCGTTCGCACGAGCACCCCCCTCGGGGGGCCAACAAGTTGAACCCAATGGCAACTGGCATGCAACCCTGTAGTCGGCCAGATTCGCTTCCTCCACCCCACACCTCCGTCCCACTCATGCACCGTAAACGTCTCTATTTCCCATCCCTCTTCTTCTTCTGCCTCCTCCTCCGACGACGAAGAAGAAAAAGAACACGACGACGAAGGCGACGACGAAGGCGACGACAACGACGACGGCGGCGACGCTCGAGAGGCGTAAGGGCCATTCCGACACGAGGAGCATCGGCGCCCTGGCCCTCGCTCTCCTCCCTCCCTCTTCCCCGCTGAGCCCTCGCTTTGACAGTACGAGTCCGTGCTCAATGAATCGGTTTGCACGTAGAGGGTGTTATCCTGAAGCATTCGGTTGGATCTGCAAAGGTTTCGGCTCGTGCGCGGCCGTGGTCGCCTCGTGGGTGCCCTACGCGTTGGCCGGGTCTGCCGAGGTTTTGTCTGGTGGGCGCCCGTGGGCGGGCGTCCCGTGCGCTGGGCGGGTCTGCCGAGGTTTCGCATCGTGGGCGACCGTGGGCGCCTCGTGGGCGCCTCGCGCTGCTTGCACTGCATCGCCTGCGCTGCAAAGTGTAGACAACTGTGCTCACGCCTCAAGGCTTACGCCGCGTAACTTGCACCACATAGCGATCGCAACGTTGCTCACACCACATAGCTTACACCATAGAGCGTGGACCACACATGGTTTGTACCACGCTGCTTGCACCACACGTACATTAATCGCATAACCAGTAGCGCACAGAGATTGCATTATAGAATGTGTACCACACAGCTTGCACGACCAGAGTGAGAAAGCTCAACGTGCGGGGTCCACGCAAGCACTGTCTTCCAGTCCCAAACAGATTTCTTGCGCGTGTGCACTTTCGAACATCATCAGCACACTGCACATGTGGACATCCTCTCTAGAGAAACCATGCGGGTCACACGCGCGCGCATGTTGAAATCGTCGTGTAATCATCGCGCACCCGCCAACCCTGTCAAATCATACAATGCCGGCGACAAGCGTGACCCCGCGCGCGCATGTCGAAGTCATTGCAAATCAAATGGTTCCCTACACATTCCAAGATAGAAGTGCCCAACAACAGATGTAAGCACAGACTTCATACATCGAACATCAGTTGACCTAGGGTTGCTGGGCGTGTGACATTATTCCCCAATGTCCAATAGCCCCCACATCGGGCTCCAGGTGTTGGCCTGAATGCCAAGCAATCTGGGTATGGCCTCAGTCGTTGATGCCTCGGCAGCGAGCATATCGAAGATAGTTCGCAAATTGTAAGAATATGTATAAGATGTCGCAGGCCGAGGGCATATGAAACGCGTGTCAGGAGACGACATTTGCAAGTGAACGTTCGGTCTCCAGTGCCACGCTTCAGCGTTTGCCCAGGCCACGGCCTCGAGCGCATATGGATGGTAATGATACCGAAATGTGGGAGCAAGGTGCTCGGGCTATAAAGGGAACAAGCCTTCAAAACCACCCCTGTTCCCTACAAGCGGGCACCATAAAGAAACGCCACTTACAATCTCATCCCAATGGACCACCGAATTCCCACGCGATTTCCTCCGTTGGGGGGGGCGGGTACGCCGAAGAAACAAATCAATGCATTGCCCCTCGGGGCGCGCCGACCAAACGAAGAGAGGGGGCCTGATGCTCAAACGGGCTTCCCTGAGAATTTGCCGACGGGTGGGTGGGGGATGCACGATGGGGGTGTTGCCAGTTGTCTCGGGTTATGATGGTGATGGTAACGATTACAATGACAACGGCGAACATGTGGATGCAGACTGAGACGCTGGCGGTGGCAACGACGACGACGATGTTGAAAACGAACAACGAAAATGATAGCGAAGACGCTGCCAACCACGACAACACAGATGATGATACTGACGGAGCCTTGATAGGCACAGTGAGCTCGTCTAGGCTGCCAGCGTCAAACGCCCAAGGCTGCTGCGCGCCACCAGCGGCGCCCACGC